CAAGCTCTTAACCAACTGAGCCACTCGGCCGGCCCTCCACTTTGTTTTTTTAATGGATTGTGATTTGAGGTCTTTATCTTATTACAGTCTTTTTTTCTCTACAACTTTTTTGGTCACTATCAAGCTGACACAGTTATTCTGTGGTATGTTCTAGTCATTGTCTGAGCCAGTCCAGGCTCCCCAGAATTCTGTCCTTATTAAACTTCTCTTCTAATTCTTGCCTGTCCCTGGTGAGCTGATTCATGGTTTTATTTTATTGGCCGTTACCCAGGGATATAGCACAAACTTCAAAAGATACAGGAGGGCCCAAATCAAAGAGCCTTCTGCATAGCCCGGCCCGACACCCTCTCATCCGGGGCCACCTGAGTTTCAGTCTCAGGTGCATTGCTCTGAGGGGTTCTCTACATAGACGAGCAAATGTGTATGTCAGTAGTTTTGAAAAAGTATGTTGCTTTTGTTTTTCACCCCTCACTTGACATAAGTTGGAGAGGTTTCCATCTCTGATATAAAGTGCATCCTCGTTTGTGACATGACTGACTCCGAGTTGATTGCATTGGTCCCCTGTCATTGGACCTTTGGGTTTCCTGCAGGAATCGCCAGGTACCGGCATCATTTTGCACACATGGCGTGTGTGTCTGCAGGCCACACCACCAGATGGAGACTTCCTAGGGGATGGTCTCAGCCTCTGCCCATCCAAATAGCCCCTTTGCTGATGAGTCCCAAACCTATCTCCAGCTCAGACTGGTCTCCAGACCCACGGCTCCTGTCCCAGGAAGTACCTCAGGGACCACTAAGGAAGTCTGCCGCCCATCTGCCCCCAGTCAGAGGTTCTATAAAAATGCTTCATTGCACTGAGTTGTGCCACCACCTACCCAGCCTCACCGACCAGAGCGCTGCTTGGCCCTACTTGACCATTCCTCCCTGCCTTGTCCTGCATCTCCATCCCTATGGCCTCAGCCCCGTTCTCGTCTTCTCCCACCTGGACCATCATCCCAGCCTCTTCCTGGCCTCTGGCATCCCCCTCTAGTTCATTCTCTGACATGAGCTGACCTCCTCCCCTGCTCACAGCCCTCCCATGGCTCCCCAGTGCCCTCAGGACAAAGTCCCAACCCCTTTGAGGCCTGTTAGTTTCTATTTTTCGTTAATTACCTCTCACCCCCTCTGTAGCCTTTATTAATGAGTCATTTAGATACCATCAGGCCAGACCACAGGCACCATTCTCACCCTCTCCATCTCCCTGCAGCCCCAGCCCTCCTCCTCCTGCCATGTCCCTTTTCTGTCCCCACTGAGCTCAGCCCTCATTCTCCCTCCTGGACCTTCCCAGCCTCCTGACCTCTGGTCTAAGATGGCAGAGCACCTACAAGGTAAATGCTCAGTTATTGCCCCCGTCCCCAATTTCCTACCTCGCCCCTTAGAAGCCCTTCTTTGCCCTACAAAATGTCACTTGCTCCCTGGCATTGAGGAAACCCCCTTTCCAAGCCTAGGGTCATATATTGGCATTTAGGTGTCCTTAGCACAGAGCTGTATGACAAAACCTTAAAACCTTAAAATATATAAGGCTAATTTGAGTATCTTCAAAAGCCTCTTTACTAGCCCAAATCGTGCATTGTAGTGTGTGGCTTCTGGAAGCAATTGTATAGGTTCCTTTATTTAACCCATCTGAGAGTCTCCATGGTGAGGATCATGGACCATATATTGGGGTCCCTGTAGCTGTCAGTCACCTTTGCACCCACTTTCCATTCTGTGAGGCATAAGCAGTGCCATTATGAAAGGAAACAAACTCAATTTGGCCAAATTCCTAGAAGTAGGCCCCCAGGCGAACTGTGTAAACCAAATCCCACCTTTCTTTGTTTCTCATAACAGTCCCATATATATTTCCATGGCAACACAGGAGAGAATCTACCCACAGAATGACCTGAAAATGTGATATCCTGAAGTTTAAGTTGGCATACAAGAAGCTTGCTGAGTAGGGAGTATATATATTGACAAGGAGTATTTTTTTTTTAATTTTTACAGGAATTTGCAAAATTCCCCTCCCCGTTTCCGACCAGCGCGCCTCCCCCGCCCCCTCGCCCCACCTATTCCCACATTCTTAGTCACTGTCTTTTGCTGGGACCATACCCAAGTGTCTAATATAGCCGGGTTGCAGTTCCATCCTTTGCCACTAGGTGGCGATAGAGGATTCCACTTAATCCGAGAATGTCTCTCAGGCCTTATGCAGACCCATGTGGTCCTGGGCACTGGTGGTCCTTCCGGAAGTTTGGGGTTCCCAGGAAGCCTGTGTCCTAACAGATGCTGGTTCTCAGGAACACCGGGCGCCTATTTTCTCATCTGTGAAATTGGAGTTGGGTGAGGTCCTCCCAGCGCTGATGTGTTCCATGCTGCCTAAGGAAGAGAAGATAGGGGAGGCTTGGGGAGGAGAATGGAGCAGAAGGAAGGTAGCCCCCTTCTCACCGAGCTCAGACAGGAGTTCAAGAATCAGCAGAGTCAAGAAGAAGCCAATTCCTGGCCAACCGCAGGGAGGCCCGCCCAAAACTGGCCCTGCCACTTACATGCTGTGTGTCTCTGAGCACCTCGCTCCCTGTCTCTGAGCCTGTCCCTCGTTTTCTTCTTCCTGGGCCTGGGGCAAGCCTGATTCCTCCAGGTGGTGTCCAGAGTCCAGGACAGACAGGAAAGAGAGAGAAAATGGATGTCACAAAGTTCCTCCCACCTGGGTACCTCTGGCTTGGCAGCCTTGCTGTGGGCTGTCCCACCTCCTGCCACAAAACCTGTGAGGATCCCTGGGTAGACTCCTGCCTCCTGCTCAGAACTTAGAAACTTCAGAGCACCGAGGGCTCCAGAGGGAGGCAAAGCGAGAGAGGAGCCCTCAGGGTGAGGATGCAGGGGCCTGTCATGGCAAAGTGCAGAGGGAGGGAGGCCAGTGAGCGGGGAGAACCGGAGGGGGTGGAGAGACACAGGAAAGAGATTGAAAGAAGGGAGGGGGAGACAGAAGAGAGAAACTGAAGAGCCAGGTCAGAGAGATGAGAAGAAAAGGCGTCGGACTCAGAGAGCAGAGAAATCAAAGAAAGAGGGAGAAAGAGTGAAGAGAGATGGAAGTGAGAAGAGAAAGGGAAGAAAAAGGAGGGAAGAAAAAATGCAGGAAAAAGTAGAATGAGGAAAGAAAACGGGAAAAGAGAAGGGGGCCACTTGGGAGAAAAGGAGGAGAGAAATGAGAGAAGACTTGGACGGAGTCCCTGAGAGAGGAAGGCAGAGAGGAGGGAGACAGACATGGGGGGAGGGGAACGCAGAGGAGCAGGGTACTGGGTAAAAGATGACAGAAATGGGGAGAAAAGGAAGACAGAGGAGGGGGGGATGGGAGTGAGAAAGAGGCAGTGAGACAGGAAGAGAAGAGGAAGGGGGGAGAGAATCACAGGAAAGGGGGGAGGAAGAGAAGAGAAGGAAGGATGACCAGCGAGCGGGATTAAAAAGCAAGTGCTTTCAAAGGAGGAAGAGAGCTAGAGAGAAAAAAAATGGGGTAAGCAGAAGTAGAAAAGAAAAAAAAGGGGCCGGCCGAGTGGCGCGATGGTTAAGAGCTGGCTTGGGACGCCAGAGGGCCCCAGTTCGGATCCCACATAGGAGGGCCAGTGACACTGCCCTCTACAGCTAAGATGCTGAACAACAGCTCAACCTGGAGCTGGGCTGCCGTGAGTCGCTGGNGTAGGGGACCTGGGCCCCACTCCTCACGTGGCCTCCCCTCACGCCGGCCCCCACCTCCCTGCCCTGGGGGAAATGTTGCTCATACTCACTTTTCTTCTCTCTGTGTCTCTGTGTCTGTGTGTCCATCGTTTCATCCTCCTGTCCGGCCCACAGTGGATGTACATCGTTCCTGTCGTCCTGTTCCTCATGATGTCGGGAGCGCCAGACGCTGGGGGCCAAGGGGGCGGTGGTGGCAGTGGTAGCAGTGGGGGCAGTGGTCGGTGAGGGGTCTGGGGACAGTCAGTGCCCCATTCTCTTTCGTCCAGGGGACGCCCTAACTGCCCAGAGTACCTGTGTCCTAGGTCATCCCAAGAAGGAGTCACTGGCACCCCCCCCTCCCATGAGGGGGACACCCCTCCCCAGGAGTCCTTTCCCTATGGGCCTCGGTGTTTCTGTCTGCAGAGGGGCAGCTGGATTCTGGGCCCTGCTGCACCCTCCCTGCCACAGTGGCCCCACTGTAGCTCCAAAGGCTTCCCTTTGCCCACAGGATGGAGCCCACGTTCCTGGGCCCCTCTGACTGCCTGTCAGTACACCGCCGCCACCACCAATCCCTGTAGTCTGGGAACATGCCAGTTCTCTCCAGCATCTGTGCCTTTGTTCTTGCCCGGCCGGGCTAGGTGGCCCCCCAACTCCTAGATGGTCCCTAACTCGTCTGACACCCTCCCCTCTGACCTCAAGGGCACAGCAAGCCTGGGCTGGCATGGGTACCTGGCTCTGTTCCTCCACAGCCCTGCCCTGGGGCCCTGCTCTGCCCTTTATC